TGCTTTAGCTTCACCCATGTTCCCAGTGATTCTGACTCTGGCATGATATCAACAAGTGAAGCCTCTGGTCTTAAAACCTTCATTATGGCACAGGTAAGAAGGACTGCGTGTCTGTATTTAACAGCTGCATGCTTTCCCAATCCTTCTGCAATGTTTCCTCCTTCTGATTTAACCTCTCAGCACACCCAACAGGGGACAAGAGCCCAGAATGCTTTCACCAAGTCTGTCACTGTTCCCAAACAACAGAGCAGACACCAAACTGCTGTCATACCTTTTGAGCTACGCGTCTAAATTAAAGACGGATGTCTCGGAGGCCGAGGCTGGAGCTGCCGCCGAGACTGGTCCAGCTATTCTGCTATAAAAAGGGTAAACAGCGATGGGATGGAGGAAGGAATGAAAACAGGAAACGTGCAGGCTGTGAATGCAGGAGCCCTGTTAACGCTGAGGTGAGGCAGAGGAGGCACGGTCATTGTGGCTGACGCTGTAGGGGTGGAGGTGAAGGAGAGAAAGAGGGGGGGGGTTGCAGGCACTCAGTCAGGCTTCCTGTCTTGGCACACCCTCCACTGCCCATTTCCTGCCTGCTGAAAAATGCCCAAATCCACAGCACCCCCGCCTTCAGCTAAAACCTTGCTCAGTCAAGCCAGACAGGGAGCAGCTGAGACCAAACACTTTGCTCTGTCTCCATTTCCTGCCAGATCCCCTCCAGGTGTCTTTGTGTGAATACACTCAGACCTTTAGGAACACAGATATTTAAAAATGGGCAGTCAGCGATCGCTAACAGATGACCTGAAATAACAATCTAAAAAGAACATGCCATCTCTCCCCACTTCACAGACCGTAATATTTAGACGCAACTTATCAAGCACACACATCTGTTTGCAAACACCTGCACGCTTACATGTGAAGCACACACACTGTGAATAGCATTTTCTGCTCAGCTGATTAATAAAAGTCTGATATTCACTGAATATGTGTTTTGTCTCCAGCTCAGTATATAGAAAAATCCAAAATGATCTTTAATTCATATACTATCAAATGCTTAAAGAACAATATTTGTACTGTGTCTTATCTCTTTCTAAAAACCTTTGGAGTCTGCACATGGTGTCATACCTGGAGAACACAGTACTGTGCAAAAATGTTTAGCCAGGCCTCACCTCTTATTAAATTTGGCTTCAAGTAGCCAGACTTTAATGTCTTTTTTTTAAAGATTACAGTAAACCCAAAAGCAAAGTCGCCAGCTGGAAAACGAAACCATTGAGCTCAAAGATGTGAAGGGGAAGTGCAGATTTGGAGACAAGCCTTTCTGTGTTTGTTCTTATGAAACCTCCCTTTTACATATACACACATGACCTAATCCAACCGTTTAATCTAAAAACACAGATTACAGCAGTATGATATAGTGGTGTAAACATTTTTTTTGGACTATACCTCCGATGAGCATGGTTCCGGTGCACTCTGTATCTGACTTCAGGTTTCACACACTAAAAATATCCGCCTATTTCCTCGAAAATAAAACAACAGCCTTCATGGTTCAACGTGCACAAGTAAAAGTATACGCGGTGAAACAGAGCTTGCCTTACCGTGGTGCATTTCACACAAACAAGCAGCCTCCTCAGAGGTCACAACACCATGAAATAACAGTTTTTATTTATTCTTTTACAAATCCATTGAAAAAAAAATATTGGATAATAACAGGAAAAGCGTTTTTGGCCCAAACATTTTTCCAAGAGCGACTCCACCCGGCTGAAAAGGTCACCGGTCTGAACAGAGCCCTCTGTGTTGCTTGTTTCAGGACCATGTTATGTGTCGCGTCTGACGTGCAAATCTGCTCCAGTGTGAGCCTCCTCGCATCTCTCAAAATTCAGGCTTGCACTGACGCAAAGAGGGCAGAGTGAGAGTTTTTTCTTATGTGCACGCAGGGAGCAAAAATTACAAACCCATGCATGCTACACAGGTGTCACTGCAGGCACTGAGGGAGCATTATCAACCCAGCGAGCTGAATCTGGAATGCAATGTACAATTTTATCATAGAGTGAAGGTGAAACCAGCCACCAGCCTAGTAACAATGGCTGCCAGTCATGTGCAGGCCCCTGAGGCTGTAACTGGGAGCTTGTTTTCCACCTAATGCACCGAGTATCTCCTGTCCCATTAATAACGGGGCAATGGGTGATGCAGATAAGCCCAGCGGGATGTTGCAGTCTCATAAGAGCCCACTAAAAAGCATGCAAACATACAGCTCCGGGATGTTTGGAGCGTGCAACCTAACAGCAATGGGTTCGTCGCTGAGGGTAGAGGTGGAGGGTGGCAGCTGGTTAAAGTCACACGTAGGTCGAAGGCCGGGCTCCACCACAATTAAACTCTCAGCCCTTCATCCCCGTGGCAGGCTTTTGAGCCCCTCCTCTCTTTGCAACTCTGCGTGAAAAAGCCTCGCGGCCTCGCCTCAACTTCCTGAAGACGTATCAGTAAAAGCCACATCTGTGCACCTCAGCTCACCCCACCTCACAGCACAGCGATAACCGAATATACACAGGCATCACAATCATCTGCTTCCGTGGCTTCTTTTTCATTTTATCTAAAACAAACTGTTTCAGCTGATGCAACAATGGGGCAAACGTTCAGCTGCACGTTAAAACAAATTTCTAATCGGCCAATCAAATGCCATTAACTCAGTGCATGAAGTCATGTCGACATGTAGAGTAACTCAAGACGACATTCTGAAGTCCAAACTGAGCATCAAACTGAGAATGAAAGGTCATTTGATTGACTTTAAACGTAGTGTGGTTGTTAGCCAGAGTATTTCCGAAAGTGCTGATCTACTGGGATTTTCCTACACAACCATCTCTAGAGTCCGGGGGAAAAAAAGAGGACGAAAATATCCAGAGAGAACAATTCTCTGGCTAAAAATGACTTGTTGATGTCAAATAAGAAAGCCCGGAGTACCTCGAGCTGATAGGAAGGCAACAGTAACTCTAGCAATACTTGTTAGAACCGAGGTATGCAGAAGAGCATCTCTGAATGCACAACATTCAGATGCAGCAGAAGAGCACACCAGGTGACACTGCTGTCAGCTAAAACAGGAAACTGTGGTCCGGACTCACCGGAAATGGACAATAGAAGGTTGGGAAAATGTGGCTTGATCTGATGAGTCTCTATTGCTGCTGAGAGATTCTGACGATGGCGTAAACAACACAAAAGCATGGATCCATACTGCTTTGCATCAACTATTCCGGCTGCTGCTGGTGGTCTAATGATTTGGAGGATATTTCCTGAGCACCATGTCACCAAGCTCAGATCATCTCAAACTGGTTTCTTGTACATGACAGAGAGTTCACTGTACTGACATGAACTCGACAACCACCAGGTCTCAATCGAACAGTGCACCCTTGGGATGTGGTGGAACAAGAGATTCATATCATGAATGTACAGCCTACAAAGCCACAACAACTGAAGGAATGTTTCCTGCACCTTGTTTAATCTATATCATGACGAATTAAGACAGTCCTGAAGGTAAAAAACAAATAAATAAAAGAGTCCGGTGAGTGTATATTTACATAAAGAAACTGTAGGTCTATAACCATTCATCCATTCTTTGCCGCTTATCCTTTTCAGGGTCGCGGAAGGGCTGGAGGGCTGTCATCATCTCTAAACAACACACCCTGCATACCTTCAGCCACATTCCTCAGTGTTTCATCTCTGCTGTGCATCACCAGATTACCTGTGGTGGAGCGGTGATGCACAGTCTGCAATACCCACTGGACAGTGGCAGAAACAACATGTAGAAAAGCTTTGATTGGAATACTTTACACTTTCCCACTTTTTCTTGAGGTTCAGCTAAAATAACCTGTTAATTGCAACTGGAAGGTGATGCCCTAGGAGGCTTTCCATCACTACACCTACCTACACCATGTCTACACGTGACTGACTTCACGTGGGCGGCTGAGGTTTTTTCTTTCCTCACAGCTGAGAGACTGATTTTCCTGTTCCAGCTATGGACAGCCTGTCAGGATCCGGTGCATCGTTGCAGAATTTACACTCGCTGTGCTTTTCCTCCACAAAGATTTGAGTCTCCAACCTGGTTGGGGATTACTAGAGAGTAGGCTTTCTCATCAAACCACACACACACACACACACACACTTACACTTCTGTACAAAAGGCTAAAAGTGCAACCCCTTCATCCACTGTGAAAGGCTTCTTGTGCACCTGCTTCAGCAGTCCAAGCTGCACCTCTTTTGCCTCATCCCCATCGCTCTGAGTCAAAGGAAAATGAACAGGCAAATGTGGAATAAACTCCACATCGATCGCCAGTTTGGAAACATCACTGCTTGTGAAGAAGTTGTACTTTAAATTCACCCTTAGAGCCCCCAGTCTCTTGAATCTGTGTTATAGAGCTTTAACTATACACTCAGACTGGCCTTGAGGTTTGTCAATAAGATCCTGTAATTGACATTCATGGCGCATTTAAACCATGCTTGCAGAACTTTTTCCTCTAACCTGCAGCATAAACAGAGCTCTGGTCAACACAGGAAACATTTCCAGGTCTCAGAAGAACACTATATTAAAGCCAAATGTGTGAATGGCTTCATTTACTTGCACTAGAAATGTAAAGCCTCCAGAGAGTAGGCTGCATTAACACAATCGTGTGCTTTCTGACTCTTGGTTTCATCATTTCCCCGACTAAATGCAGCTGTTCTTTCACTACAGCAGCTCGCAAAACCCTGGAATAAACCCACGGGAGACCTCCGAGCTTTCACAACAAAACCCAAACTTCCCACGGACGCATTTAGCTGCCATGTAAACAGCAGACAGAGCAAGTCCCTGCTTGCACCGAGCCCAACTTGCATGTATTCACCCTGCTGAGTGTAGTGTGTGCGCTCAGGACTTCTTGGACACCACCCCCACCTCCACAAAAACATGCAAACCCTGTCGCTTTCTCCTTTTTTCTCTTAATATCCGTCCTTAGCTCACATAAAGACAACCCGATCGGCTCTTCGGGACTTACGATTTTGCTCAGATCCATGATCGTCCTTCCAAGACGGCGAGCGGGGGATCCTCGGAGCTGCTGGCTCTCTCCTAACGCGCAGTAACGGGAAAGCGACTGAGCCTACAAATGCATTTGGGAGGAGAAGAAGGGGGGAGGAGGTGGCGAGGGCCGTTAGCTCAACATGTGTCCCGATTTGGTATTAAAATGCTGCTCTATTCTTCCTTTGCTTCCTTCCGCGTCCAGTCTGCTTTTCTCCGCGAGCTCTGCGCGATCTCTTATCGGCGAGGACTTTCAGCATCCGACCCGGCGAGGAGCTCAAGCTGTGTGGGAGGAAAAACCCAGAGGACTACCGCTAACGATAGGCGCTCATTTCACTTTAAAAGGGGCAAAAGAAAAGACAATCACCCCACTCGCATGAATCAGCCCTCGTAGGGGCAAACACTGAGGCAGGAGGCTACCTTTATTTTGCAAATAGCCCGCTCTCCTGTTAGACAATAGTAGCATGGAGCCTGCAGAGTGGGATGGCTCAAACACGGTGGGTTTCAAACTGGGGTCCGGGGAACCGCCGGGGGTCCTAACAGGGAGAGAAACAAAACGGGGTGGGGGGTGGTTGGGGTTTGCAACTTCCACTGCTGCTCCATTCACTAGTAGGAGTAACAGATGATCACCTGATCTAAACTGCAGCAGGAGCCAAAAGACCATCTACCCCTCCCCTATCTCCAAAAAAATAAAGAAATTAAAAAAAATTAAATCATCTTCCTCACCGTGAAAATCAGAAAAAGCAGGAAAGAGAAGAAGATGTGGGAACAACAACAGACACTTAGATCAAATGTAGCCAAAAGAACAAAAAGGCTGTGGTACAAAGAAAACTCAACAACTCAACTATACTGACAGTATACAGTAGAGCCCCTATATTTCCATACTTTATATGCACACACTGCCTTAAAGCCTTATCCTGACTGACTACAGTGATGGTGAAGCCTGGAAAAAAGCAACTTTCAAAAGGTGAAAAGTGGGGGAAAGGAGCCCAGCGTCCACCAGGAGATCAATCCTGGGCAACTGATGCCCCCATCTGGTGCCTCTGAGAGTCTTCAGTTATTCTGTGTTTGTGTCAGCCTGCAGGATTTGAGCTTCACAACAGCTTAAAGTTTCAGGCCTTTTTGACGCAGGAAATTCTGGGTCTATAGTCTATAACAGACCCTCCATAAAGATACCATTTTAACATGACATAGCAGGTAAAATGCAGGTGTTACTAATCCCGTAAACTAAGCCTCTGTACTGAAATACAAGCTTCATTAATTCGATCAGCAAGTCCTAGATGCTTTTCTTCATACCTTTGTTGTAACGAGTGGTTATGAGAGTTACTGTTGCCATCCTATCAGCTCAAAGCAGTGTGGTCATTCTCCTCTCACCTCCAACATCAACAAGTCAATTTTTACCCAGAGAACTGACAAGCCCAGCCCGTCTGGCACCAACAACTATGCCACATTCAAAATCACTTAAATCACCGGGATGATGCTCGGTTTGCATTTCAGCAGGTCGTCTCGACCACGTCTGCATGCCTAAATGCATTGTGTTGCTGCCACGTGATTGGCTCATTATACAGTTTCATTAACGTGCTGTTGCACAGGTGCGCCTAATAAAGTGGCCAGTGAGCGTATATAAACAGCATATTTACTGACTTCAATTCACATTTTAGGGACCAAGTGTGGACTCAGCCGTACACACAGAAGTGTCATCCTGATGCCAATAACTAGACTGTATAAAGTCGCCAGTGTGTGCGAATCTGTGCAAATCTGCGCAAAACATCCAGGCAGAGTGACAAAGACTCATCCTCAATGAAAAAGAGACAGTACAACCGCCAACATCAACGAGGCAGTCTGGGATTACACAACAGAAGACTCGGAGACAGCCAGTGAGCCCACAGGATCCATTTTTAAAATCCAGGCCAGGCTTTCAATCACAGCTGACCAACCAGGGCCAGGCCAGCCACAATAATCAATATGTTACTCATTAGACTATCGGGTGTGCGCATTAAACCTCCAGGCTGCCCAGCAGTCAGTCTAAAAACAATGCAGGCTATTTTCCACAGAGTCTCCTCACTTCCTGGTACGGCGTGGGCCCATCGCTGAGCATTTCTCACATACAGCAGTCCCTCTCTGTCTCTGTCTTCATTTTGACTCAGCAACACTCATCTCTGTTTTTGTCTAACCAGCTTTAAAAGGACACATCTCCGAGTTTCAGTCATTGTTTTAATTTAGCCGTATGAAGCATGTAAAAGTGCTCAAGGTGTTTCAGCAGCTAAATCAGATGTGGGCTAGGATTGCTGAGTAAGTGCAGTTCAATACGGGCTGGCTGGGTTGTGCTGTCAGCATACATCATGTGCCATCTTTTTTCCTGTTCCAGTAAACCTCTCACAGTCCACTTGAACCGTGATGTCATACTGCACCTTCCTGACTAAAGGTTAAGGACCAAGAAGAGCAATGGCTCACCTAACCTGCTGATTATTTGTGTTAAACTTCCTACTCAGCAGCCATATGACATATTAGAAAACGTGTGTCATATCTCTTTAAGCAGGTGTGGCTTGGAAAAGGTCGTTGTACCATGTCAAAACACAGTCAGGGGTTAAAGTCCTCCAAATGTCTCTTGTTTGAACTCAAGTGTTATGACACGACACTTTTCCTGGAATATCTTTGTTTCTCGCAGTGGAAAAAAAAAAGACATTAAAACACAGGAGTTTGTGGTGTGTTATCATGTGAATACGCTAACATAAGGTGTTACTGACGCGGCAGGATGATTTTTAAAAACAGACTGGAGCCACTTCTTCATCATGTCTATATGTTGTACATCAGTAACCTGGGAGACTGAAGCAGATGTTAGCAAATCGAATCAGAGGAGTTTACCACGGAGCGAGATTATTGGGTTAGCGAGCTACGTTGAGCTTAAACACAGAGTTTTCAGTTTCGCCGTGGCAACACATGCTTGACCCCGGTGAGGAGCAGGTGGAGGAAATGATTCCTTCATTTACAGCTCGGTTTTAAGAGCTGGAACGCATTTTATACGTGCAACTTGTTAAGCTCAGCAAACTGTGCACCACATCGTCACCGGAGCGTGCATGCATTCAGCCGGTGATACAGAAAGTGCATAAATGTTTTTATACTGCCAGGTCTCTGCTATACACCTGTTCAATCAATACATTTTATTTGACTCTGATCTGCCGAGAAATCAAAGAGATTTCCACGGCTCCTTTATTTTGCTTCGGGGCAGTAACCTTTCATGTTTCAAAGCACAGAGCTTCGATGAGCAGCCACCACACTAGAAATAAACATCAGCACCGAGAGCGCACTTAGCAATAAAATAAATACATTAACTCGAGTTTAAATGCTTATTTTTAGCGCTCTGAGTGTTAAATCCTGAGATTATTACCCCCCCTCGTATTATTGGAAACTGTGTGACATTTGACTGCTATAGTTATAGTATAGTTGATGTTCTTTAAAGATTTTATCTCCATCATCATCTGATAACGTGTCTGACTGGAGCAGGCAGCGCTCACAGGGACTCTTTCGTGTAGAGGAAGAGTCATATGATGCGTGAAATGCCCCTTGTTATGTGAGCGCTCACCGAGAATGACGCAGAAAGTCGGGCTTAACAGAGAAAGTTGATAAACACTGTCATCTTCCACCCGGGGTTTTAGGTTGGGTCAAGCCAGCTAATGCCGAGAAAGCCCAGCTTTGATGAGCTTACTTCAAACTAGCAGGGAATTTTCAGCCCCAGACATTTATGTGTAGAGGAGACCTTTGTTATTGTGTCAGCAGTAAAAAAAAAAAGCTTTCATTTTCATGCTGACATTTGGTATTCGTGTTGGCATGGTGACCATCAGGGCAGGACCTCTGGACTTATTATTGTTATCCTGAAAGAATTATGATAATATTGTATTATTTGAAATGAAGAAAATCTGACAATGACATAGCTTGTCACATGGAGTAAATGGAGTTGTACTCTTATAGTGCTTTTCTGCTCTGTTTGAGCACTCAAAGCGCTTTCTTACTACAAGCCTCATTCACCCACTCATACAACCATTCTTTTTCCTATTGCTAAGTGCTTTTAAGCTAACTCTGATGAATGCATCAGGTTCAGTATCTTGGCCAAGGATCCTTCGACGTGCAGACTAAGACTAGAAGAGCCAGGGATCGAACCTCCTGATTGGCAGACCTCCTTGCTCTACCTCCCACGCTGCAGCCGACGAATAAAATACAGACGGCTGAAGCAGCCCAATTCCCCTACCGCGCTCTTCCACCGGTGACGTAGCTTCCAGTCTGACTTTTGACCTCTGCTGCGACTGAAACAAACAAGCACCCCGTCTCCACCTTGCACCTTTCACTGTACCGTGCTCGTAAAACTCAGCAGGGAACTCCAAAACAACCTGTAATTCAGAGTCATTGTTATTGCCACTAGAAACTCCGCAGTGCACTTTGTTCCACTTACTAACCCGTCACTCACGTCCCGCTCCATTATTCCACGCAGCCAGCGCAATGAGGCTACAAACCACCACCCGCCGTTTCTGCTCCCTCAGCGCCTTTAATGGTCTCGCTTTCGTGCTCGTCTGCGTGTATCCCGCATGCATGCGGATATCCCTCGACAACTTCCTGCGCATTCTGAATCGCAGGATGTCAAAGAAGATGACGAGGACTCGAGACAATGAGCGGCGGAGGGGAGCAGAAGGAGGCAAAGACAAAAGATGAGGGAGAAAGAGAGGCAGGAAGACGGCGTGATTAGAAAAAACCCGCCTGTCTACAAAGACCCCTGCTGATTCCTGCTTGTGCCCAAAGGCCGTGATCTTGCTCCTTGCCTGAATTCCAAAGCTGCCGTGACACCAAACGGAATTAAAAGATCGCGCAGGCCTGGGGGACGGGCCTTCTGCACTAAGAGCAGGTTATTTACTTCCTACGAATCAGCCCAAGGATTAATCAGACTCTAGTTAAACATCCAGCTTCTACTACTCCTCCAAAACACCAGGAACAGGACTGCAAACTCAACCAAAACAGCCTTAATGCTGGCAGTTCAGTTTGATAGAAAATAAAGAGAACATTAACAGTCAAACAGTCAAAGCACTTTTATATCCAGATACAGGAGTGCCCTCAGTATGGACAATTAAAGGGGAAGGATGAGGCAGACAGACAGTCTGATTTTAAGGCCTTCATTATGTAACATGCGTACAATGTGGTGTCACTCTGTGGCTCACTCTGCATATCCCAACCGAGGAGCTGGTGCCCCAGAAATGTTCCTCAAGTACTAATTATGGTTCCTATTGGTCCATAGATTACTACCTACGCCAGCTTTCAAATCAAAAACCTCTCCTGTCCTCTGGGAGCTCAGGGACCGGGAGCTGGCATCTTGGACATTTCGGAGCCTGAAGATAAAAGATGATAAAAACTCCCGCTGGTGTTCATTGTGTTATTTACTCCTTTGTTTTCACTACAGCTTTGAGGCTACGATTCAACCCAAACCAAAACACAGAATGACGTTTCAGACGAACTCCCCCGGAGATTTAATCCGCCTAAACTCTAAATGAAAGACTCGGTTGCTGTTATGAGACTAAACATGTCATTAAAAGTGCTGAGTGCTATCAGGTTGCCCTGGTTCGTGCTTTTTATAACCCCGAGTGGACATGACAGAGGGGATTTTGCACACAACAGAAAGGATCGGGCAGGAAGTTCTCAGGATGAGCGTGGTTAGAAAACCACAGAAGACATTTGGGTAAAAAAAAGAAAAACAAACAGCTTTTAATTTACGCCTTGAACTTGTCTCAACTAACAGCAGATGATTCTGGAGTCATTTTTAAGTTGTTGTTGTTTAACTCAGTGGGTCTAAGCCAGGGTGGGCAGAGTAGGCGGGGTACTTCTCCAGTACAAAGGGGTTATATGGTTGGATAAACTCAACTAATCGAGGGAATAAAAAAACCCCCAAAAGTTATCATTTAATTAAAGAGCTGAGTGGACAAAAGGTTGAAAGTCAGTTAAAAGTAATGTGTAAGATATATAAAATGGACAGTTTTTGTCTTGTATACTGTATTTCCATGTATGTTTGCAGGTGTTTTAGTAAATCCCTGCACCTATTTCAAATTTTCCTGGCAAAACATAAACAAACACCGAGAGCTCTGCACACTGCTCTATATTACGGATGTTGAAATCGGTCTTCAAGGGAAAAAATAGCATGTCAGCTGAACTAAGTGCATGAAAGGCTAAAACAGTATGTCGTGAGGGTAAATCAGATAAAGAAGCGTTGGGAATAATCTGGGAATGCCTGGATTCATTCATCTGCAAAAAAGCATTGAGGCTATGATTAGGGGTTATTATACAGAGTCATTTTTGACACTAAATAGTCCAAACAAACTTGAACATATCACTGATAACCAGCAAAACAAGACATTTAACAGAAATAATAAGATTCTGTTCCAAACAGTAGAAACAAATAACATAAAAAAAAGTTTTACATCTAAGGTGAGCTTGTTAATATGAACGGACGGATGAAAAAAAAGGGGAAAAAAGGAAAAAGCTGGTGAAAGAAACAAATATCTAAAAGCAGGCAGGCTGTTGGGATTTCTATAGAGGTGAAAGCCAGCCACCCAGCAGATTTAGGCAGCTTTAGAGCACAACAGATCAGATGAGATTATCTCTCGTTGATCCCTGTAAAGCAGACAGCACATTCATTGATTCCTGCACCTCCTGCCGCAGCTCTGGATCCTCAGTCAGAACCCCCCCCCCAACAAAAACCCCCAAAACAAAACAAAAACAACAACCACGAGGAACAAAAAGCAAACATAAGCATTTCCTCTGATACGGGTGACAAATCCCAATGAGTATTATCTTAAAAATTACACCTTTAGGAGGCGGAAACTGACTCCATTAGTACGAAAACAGTAGTATGATCTGCCGACAACACATCAAACTTGGGCTTGTTAAAGCTTGCCTGAATATTTTCACCCTCCTTTAATGGGAGATACACTAGAGCAAGACAAAAACACCTTTCTGCTCAGACACATTTACTTCCCCCTCCAGTTTCCTCAGAAGCTGGAGCAACTATGTGCCTGCATTACGTTGCCATGCTGGCACCTTCCGCAGGGTGTGATCTCAGGAGCCTGACAGTGACCCAGTGACCAGGATTGGCTCGAGATGCACAAAGCTACGCATGCGTCTTTCCCCAACTTTAATCCATACTGCTGCTGCGACGGGCTGGCGGAGAGGGGGCCAGACTGGATGAGACCATCTAGAGGCAGCGAGGCCAAATACCTACTGTGCACATTTAGGCTGTGTGGACTGCACTGTCCGATTTTAGCAGCAGGAGTGGATTGGGAAAAGCATGTTGCAGCACTACCACGCTGCCTTGATTCATCTGACCTACTTTCCCCCACCGCTTTCCCTCCTCTGCGCCTGGTCCGGGGCAAGGGGAGGGGAGACCACCAAGCAGGAAGCAGCAGGCTCCACAGCACATACATACATACATACATACATATATATATATGAGTAAAGATACACAACATTCATTATTCATCAGCAGCCATGAAAACTAAACACAAGGAAGGAAGACAGGCAGTTACCTTGGTTTTACAATTTCACCCATTTTCATCGTCATTTTTTATTAGTCCTTTATTTATCCAGGTAAAAAATCTCATTGAGATTAAAAATCTCATTTCCAAGAGAGACCTGGCATCATCCCTGGTCCTGCCTTAAATGAAGGGCTTCGGAGGCACTTTACATACATGATACAGCTCCACTGAGCCCCCCTCCTGTGTGCTTTTTTATGCAATAGTTATCTGAATTCAAAAGGCCACTGACCCACATCTCCACAGCTCTTTTGTTGTACAGTGGGCTCGTTTTGTGTCTGCTGATCTCAGACAGACGTGTGGGAAGGTGACAACAATGTGGATCCAAAAAAAAAAAAAAAAAAAAAGCAAAGCAAACACGGGATAGGCCTGATCGACTCAGCTGTCACACGGTGACTCGTTTAAAATGAAGGAAAAATTTGGCTCCCGTGTCATTTCCTTCTCTCGCGTCAGACGGAGAGAAATAGTGACACAGTGCTGTGCATAGTTTAAGTTGACATGACTTTTTAAAAACCTCCCACCAGCGCCATAAAGAGGCTCTCAGCCCGGGACCTCCATCCCACACTCTCGGCAGAATAACGTTATTATATGACTGTAACCTCCTGTGCTCCGTACCTGCACTCTTTCAAAGTTTTCCCTCTCCAGCTCCAGGCTGTTGGTTCCTCCGGTCCGTCGGATCACTTTGGGGATAGCGTTGGGGACTTGCTGCATGGAGCTTTTTACTCGATCCATTGTCGTCTGAGGCAGATGAAGAACAAACAGCAGCGGGGGGGAACAGAAAGAGAGGCTTTTAGCTTATAACCGTTCTCTAGGCTACAGTGAAGTAGACTCCGAACTGCGCTAACTATGGCGGGCAGCCGTCCATGCTGCGCTGCTGGACTCGTCGCCCCGTTCACAGAAGCATTTGGCCTCTGCGTCCACCACCAACACCACCCCAGTCAATGACAGGAGCAGCCTGAGCGGCACCAACGTAAAGCTCGCGCACGAGCTCACCGCGAAGGGCTCACTTCCGCTTTCACTTTTTCAAACTAAAGTTCCCAAATTCCGACAGTTAGCGAGGGCGTAAATCTCACATGTGGAGAGCGGAGATAGACTCAGCTGTTACTTATATTTTAACTTACAGCTTATATTGTGAATATACACTCACTGGCCACTTTATTAGGTACACCTTGCTTTATTTCTTGTTTGCAAAGATTCAACAAGGTGCATGAAACATCCCTTAGAGATTTTCCTCCATTCTAACATGACAGCATCACGCAGCAGATCAGTGATGAGAATGTCCTTGTGCACCACATCCCAAAGGTGTTCTATTAGATTGAGATGTGGTGACTGTGGAGGCAATTTGAATACAGCGAATTCATTCAAGAAACCAGTTTGAGATGATTTAAGCTTTGTGAAGTTGTGCTCAGTTGGGACTAAGGGGTCAGAAATGTGCCAAGATAATATCCCCCACATCATTACACCACCAGCAGTCTGATCAGTTAATACAAGGCCGGATGGATCCATGCTTTCATGTTGTTTATGCTGAACTCTGATCCAACAACTCATCACACGAGGCAACATTTCTCTCTGGTGAGTCTGAGTCACAGTTTCCTCTTTTTTGTGACATCCAGTGTGGTCTTCTTCTGTACCTGAATGTTGTGCATTCAGACACGCTCTTCTGCATGGTACCTTGGTTGTAAACAAGTGTTGTTACTTTTGCCTTCCTATTAGCTGGAAACAGTGTTGCAATCCTCCTCTGAGCTCTCTTTTTCATACCATTCTCTGTGAACTCTAGAGATGGTCGTGTAAGAAAATCCCAATAGCTCAACATCTCGTTAAATTCTCAGACCAACAACAACATCATATTCAAAGTCACTTAAATCAGCATTCTTCTTCCCTCTGATGGTCAGTTTGAACATCAGCAGACCATCTTGATCAAGTCTACATGCGTAAGTGCGCTGAGATGCTGCCATGCAATTGGCTGATTAAGCAAATGTTACAAGCAGCTGAACAGGTGTACCCAATGAAATGGCCAAAGATCAAAATATTTTAGTTTTACTTTTAAAAGCAGATATTTCTTCAACCAGTTACTTGTCATGTTTTTGCTTTAAAAAAAATTAAATATGAACCAAAGTTAAATATTATATTTTGCATTTTAAGCCAGGAGTACGTGCCCCCTCTGGATGGCAACAATTCTGAGCAAACTGATGGACGTCCATGTGTGGAATTGTGTGTAAATAAAAGCACAAAATTCACCTGACTCATAGTGTTTGTCATCAACGGTGATGTGCAAACCTCACAATCTCTGAAAAATGAAAAGCCTTTAATCACAAAGTCATGGCAGGAAGTTGCTGCCATTGTAGGTACCATGACAACTTTCAGCTGCATGCTGGGCTGTTATTTGGATATTTTCTCTAGTAACGGCCTTGGGACTCCTCCCTGTGTTGTCAGCCACTGGCTGAAGCTCTAGCAGTCCCCGCCCACGCCATCAGTTGACATTTTTCTTTTTCTGTGGCCTTCCCCACATTCAGCTGTCTTATCGTGTCCTGTCAAACAGATATAGAAACACTAAAAGAAAATATTCAATGTGATGATTCTGGAAACATACACCACAGAAATGTTTAGTCTGAGACTAAGATACAGATTTTTCATCGCTGAGATTATTTTTTCTAGGCAGCATCCAGTTTATTGTAACTCTCTCAGTCACTGATCTGATGTTAACTGAAAAAAAGGCTTTAATCTATTTATGTTCATTCTTACTAAAAAGATGATAGTGTTAACAGACTTGCATAAATAAATAAAATATTCACATTACTTGACAATATTGTCACAATGTTTCTAGTTTCATTCTTGGCAGAGTGAAAACAAGTTGCTTAAAGAAAAGCTGGCCCTGCTTCTGCTCCTTTACTATCTGCAGATGACAAGCAAAGCAAACAAAGGATAATTTCCTGTCAGTGATTCCTTCCTATCTCAGCAATAAATCAACACACTGACAACCTTTGCTCTGTGTCCCCCGAGAGCCGGGAGGAGCAGGTCTGCTAATGCCTGACTCAAAGCTGCCCTCTATTGATTACATGTGGGAACAAGTACATACAAAAATCAATACAAAAGCAAAGAAAAGAGCTTTATGCACTATAAACGTAATTATTTACTGCAGTGGATCCAAGATGTTCTGAGAGGATTTTATTTGCTTTGTTTTTAATTTGTATTGTTAACACAGTTTGTACAAATCTAATGAGCTTAAAAGTCAATATGTGAACTTTAAACTCTCTTAGACAAGCTTTCTTATAATTTCTCTAAGTGGTTTTCCGGAATAGTTCTCCAGGCTTCTTGAAGGACTTTCAAAGCTCTTATTTGGATGTTGGCTGACTTTTGTTCCATCCTCTCTAACAATGATCCCACACTCTTTCAGTAACGTTGAGATCCGGGCTCTGGGGAGGCCAATCCATGACTCGTAGCATTCCGCGGTGTGATTTTCTATACAGGCATGCTTTTTCTTTGTTGGCTGTGTGTTTGTGCTCATTGTCATGCTGAAATAGGTAGCCTTTGCCAATCAGATGTTTTCCAGGTGCTACATATGGTGGATCAAAATCAGACAATGGTTTTGATACTTCTCCCTGTTTCCCCTCATAGCAACCACCCTTCCACTGAGACCATGTCTGATGAGGCTCCAGCGAACATTAGATCCTAGGTGGTGGCTTCCACTTCTCCAGTTTCCTCCATTTTTTTTAAGTACACAGTTTGGACCTAATAGCTGATTCCCAACGAGCTTGAAAGATCTTCGGAAAGCTTGGAGAGCTATTCCTAAAGACCACTGGTAAAAACTGACAAGAAAGTCTGGCTGCTTGGAAGCAAAATATAAAGAAATAAGGGGTGGTTCAAGACTTTTGCACAGCAGTGTAGTTTTGAGTAGAGCAGCTAACAACTCGCTTTAAAGGTGACAGGGGCTCTGCACAGGGGGACAACCCCACAACATGTTGGGTTTATTTTTCATTTTTTTTAGGAGAATGCCTTTTTTAATGTGAAAAAAAAATCCCCACGTCTCACTTTACAGCCTTCAAAGCTGTCATTAAGTACAGCATTTGAATAAACTGTACATTAAATAGAAACCCCCACTATAGTCAGAAGGGATGGATAATGGACAAAAAAGACGAATAAA